CTTCAGGATATGCAATAACTTGTCCGTTTTGTCCGCGAAGAGTTTGGCGCCTTTGAACAGTAAGTATTCTACAGTGGTCTGCACTGGCTTTGGGAAACCGGACAGATGAAATGAGGAGGCTCTCCTGTTGCGATGGATCTCACTGTGGAATCAGCGGAGTCAAGGGCAGCTTGTAGCGCTGTTCTGGTGATAAGGTGGCCCTCTGTGATGAGTGCTTTGTACTGATCCTTTTTGTCTTCTGGAATAAAGTTTATAAATTCTGAGAGACTTGTGTAATTATTGTGATCATACTTTGCCAGTAGGGCCTCATAGTTGGCAATTCTCAATTGTAAGGTCGCAGCCGAGTATGCTTTGCGGCCGAACAGGTCGAGCTGTTTCCAGTCTTAACAAGACTATAGAAACACCCCATATGATAGCTTACCCCGTTTGTTCACCGCATCGATAACCAACGAATTTGGCGTTGGATGTGAGGAAAGGAATTCAGTGCCGTTGGCCGGCACGTAATACTTATCAGACCTTTTACAGGCAAGTGCAATCGTTGCTGGGGTTTGCCAAGGCGATTTCACAGGGTCCATAATCGCAACATTCATGGGAAAGGCGATTTTGGATGAAGTGGACGTGTGTAGTATGTCCACTAGCTTATGGTGAGATTCCTGGACCTCTTCCAGAGAGATGTCTAGCGAAGTGGCCACTGTCTTGTAGAAATCCTGAAGTTGTCTGCTGTGGTGGGAGGTGGAGGCATAATTGTGCCATCCAGTGAGAAAGATGAAACCTGAATGTCAGCCTGGTCGTTTGGGTCCGAGAATTCCTCCTGTTCTTCGGTCCCTTGTTGGGAAACAGCAGAAGGTGCCTTTGATGGCAATATTGGTGGTTGAGGTGCACCAGTTGCGAGCAGAGTGGTGGGTATTCCCTGTTGTTGCTATTGTGGATATGGAGCCCATGGCTGCCAGAATGGCCATTGCGGTTGAAGGGGCACTGTGGGCATCCAGGGTTGGCCGTACCAGGGTTGGTTTGTAAAATCTACAGGGAATCCCATGCTTGGTGGGGCTTGTGTGGGAGGAGTAGCCACAGGAGAGGATACTTGCCACAGCATTCCTATATCCTTCTCTCCCTTGTCCTCCCCACTAGAGAATTGTGGTGAAAGCTGTGGAGAGCTGGGTTGGCTAAGTACCGCATGTACCATGGTACCGTTAATGCCGAGGAGAGGAGACTGCAGTACCGAGACAGATAAGTCTATGTGACACAGGAACTGCTGTCATGTGCCCGGTCTCAGTATCGGTGGGATGGTGGAGCTCGGTACCGTGTGCTGGAGTGTGTTTATCGGCGCAGGTGTGTGGCTGGCGTGCATAGTACCAGCAGTAGGTGGCAGCATTAGCGCTGGAATGCTCAGTACCAATGGTTTGCTTGCTGGTGCTGTGGCATGGGGTTTCACTTTCCCCTTAACGCCTGTGGCGGAGCTCAACTGCGTAGGAGCTCTGGGTTTCTTAGTACCGTCAGTACGTGGTCTGTCGGCCGTTGATATGATACTCTTACCTGAGATTCCCCTGTTTATACATGCAAGGATCACATAAGCCCCTTTGGCCATTGCATTGCACTTAAACTCATGTTCAGCAGATTATCCACCGTGACCCCCCAAGTCTTTGTCAGAGTCACCTGCTTCCCAGGATAAAATCTTCAGCCCTGTAGTAAGTATAGGCCTGAATTCTTTGTTCCTTGATGTATACATTTAATTTGGCCATATGAAAAGGCACATTGTTTGCTTGCGCCCAGCTTACCGAGCGATCCAGATCGCTTTGTATCAGTGACCTGTCTTCATTATTTACCACTTTAAACTTTCAATAATGATTTTATGTTTTCTTCTAGGTCATTGATAAAAGTATTAAATAGTGTAGGGCAATGAACCGATTCCTGCAGGTCCTCACTAGAAACACTACACGCTCTCTAGGATTCCCTGTTTGCACTGCATTTTGAGATCTTTCAGTTAGCCCGTTTTTAATCCATTTAATGTGTGCTATGTTAACTTTGCATCATTTTCTTTTTTTTTTTTTTTTTTTTTTAATCAAAATGCCACGTGGTACCAAGTCAAATGCCTTGCATAAGCTGTCAAGCTTTCATTTTACAGGCTGAAAATTTTCCAGATCTCATCTTTGCCCAAAGGTGATTTTTAAAAAAAAAATGTATGCAAACATGGTTCTGTCATTTCTTAGATGAAGGCAATGAAAAGCCAACTTAACACTAAAAAACAAAAAAAACCCAACAACCTTTTTTGGGAACAGTTCTAATATCTATAAGTGGACCTAGAAAGCTGAAATTTGAGACAGACAACACATTTTGATGATCAGGTGAAAAATCAGTTTTGATTGGTCACAGATATATGCACTGAGCAAGAGAGATCTTGTGGAAATAATATCATGCTATCATGTGATTAAAAATTACTGTAATGTATGAGCACAAGAGGGCAGGGCTGAAGATGGGCAGACTATTTCCTCACATTCATTTTTCCCTGCAAATGTAACATTCTTTTAATATAGTGATTTCACTGAACTGAATATACACGATGAAATTGATGTGTTATCTCCTTCCATGAGCAGATTAAACTGTATTTTATGACTGTTTTATGGGCCAACTTGTTATGTTTTGAATATAAAATAGTATTGTAACAAAATGTCATGGATAAGGCAGAAATCAGTTTAAGTGAAGATGGTTCCAAACCCATATAATTATCTTCCACCCATGTGTGCACTGGAACTATAGAGCTGCTTCCCCAATCAGATTACACCACTCTGAGCATTTTTCAATGAAAGATTTTCTTCTCTGTGCTCTCCCAGCTCAGATTTTGAAACATTCTGGAGGGTTCCTTTAAAACGAATTCCTCTGCAGTTTTAATTGTAGTAGTTGCTTTCGAACTGGACTTTCCCCCCTTTGTCCTCTGCTGTTTCACAGATTTTACGAGACTGCATAAAGCCAGAAATGCTTCATTAGGAGGGTAGATAGGTGGGTGCACCTCCAATCAGTTCTTCGGGTTGCTCTGCACAGATACTCCTTTTCCAATTTCATCTGTTGCTCCTTAGCACTTTCGGGGCCATGTGAGACTGTCCCTTTCGCAGGAGTTCACTGTTCAAACCACTGTTTCATTGTCACAGTCACGCACTTCTGTGAGCTAGATGTGGCTCCACTGAAGGGTACTGAGCATTAAAGATCCACAGCTCTTAAAACTGTGACAATCTATATAGACAGGAGAGTTCTTCCTCTCTGCTTCCCTGGCACTCTGACCACGTAACAGATCACTTCAATTTTGACAGCTCCCTCTCCCTGCACAGGATTGAGGTGCTGCAGCAAAGAAACAACTATGAAGAGGAAGTGCTACCAACAGGCATCTTAGACTGCAGGATGCCAGAAAGCTGAAGAAGATATCCAAAGGGGAGTGAATGGGGTCTGGACAAAGTGAATTAAAACTGCTGTCCCTGGTCCATCAACTTAGATGCATCAGCAGCTTCTGATATAGATTGCTCTGGCAGTGTAAAGGGTCTTGAAATAGCTGTGAATGTAATTACAATGCAGAGTATCTTTAGTTTAAATGAGAATCAAGCCCATAATTTTTTACAAATTATATGAGCAATTTTCACTGCTCAAAAAGCCCCTGAAGTAAACAGGAGCGGGAAAGGGAATGAATCTTCTGCTTGAAAAAGAAGGAAAAAAAAGTTATGCTGGTGTGAATTGGGGCGGTCAACGTTCATATGTTAACAAAATGTTGCAAAATGGACTGATATGCTTCTGCATATACACTTCATATAAATATTACATATTAAAAGGTTTATTTATGCATTGTTAAAGTTGAGAAATTAACTCTGAAGTCAGAAAAGTGCTTTACTCAGGAAATTAAGGTTCTTAACAATGTTAGTTCACACCTAAACCAGGACGTTAAGTCACCCTATTTTCATAACTTCTAGAACTGCAAAACAAAGCCAAGTTAACTATATAGAAAAAATTTTTTTATCAGTACAGAAGTGGGGGCTAGAGAACCGCTCAGTAGTGTGACTGGTACAGAAGAATTGGTACTGAGAGAAATGCAGCCCTGCGCACACAAAGATTTTTTCCAGTCTATAAGTTCCAAATGATTACTGGGGTGTAGACACAACATGTGTTACTTTCCATTATCGCCTTATTTAAAACACACACGAAAAGGCAGTTTTCTGGATTTCTGGATTGTGTGAGCTCCTCAGGGAGTGGCTTAATTTGTTACTTGTACAATACTGAGTGCACTGTCAGCACTTACATAATGATAATTCGCTCTCTGACAGCAAGGTGGTATGCATGTAATGTAGCTGGATGGTATTATCCCCATCTAGTATCTAGATGAACTCTTTGTACCATTTCAGGTCTGAGACAGGAAAGAGTTAGCTCGGCAAGTCAGTTATTCTGCTCCCAGCAATGTGGGAGAAACTTGGTTATTAGATAAACAAGGATGTTTTGACAGTTTCTTTGTTAATGTGTTTCCACATAGTTGTGCTATCTTTTGGCCTGTGTTAGTCTTTTTTTAAAAATCTTGCTAGTATTTACACAAATTATTGATTTTAGAGATGTAGCTGGAAGGGCTGATTTTATATATGCGCACACACCCTCTGAAGGGAAGGGGTCTCTTACACCTAGTCAATTATTTTAGTGGGCTTCCTACTATTTGATTAATGTTAAAAACCCTTTCCTCCAAATTTCTGAACTTGTTTTGTGAAGCTATGGATGTGTGTCCAGAGACTGGAGCCTAAGCTAGTTCTGACTTTAGTTAAAACATGTTAAGAAAATACTACACCACTATGGAAAAAAAGTACATAAACATAAAACACGCAACCCTGCATCAAGCTAAAAGGTCACCCACACTTTGCCTCAGTGAAGAATGGATTTCTCTGATGCAAACAGCAAAACTACATTAGCTGTGAAGCTCCAGGCTGCCCACCCCCACACACTGGAGATGAAAGCCTGTGTCATTAGATAAACCTACTTACTGGAGGAGGCACACTGCAGACGGGAAGGTGCTGTCCACTGAAAACCACAGAACATCCTGGGACCTGCTGTGTGTTACAAGCTGGTATGTGCTGGCCTGTGCAGAGCGGAATCCCATGTGGTGCCACCGTTGTTACTGTGTATGAGACAGGGACTGTGCCCTGGTGGATCTGCATTGAAACAAACAATTTTCAGTAATTTTGTTAATTTACACAATTCAGAGGGTTCTGAACAGTTATGGTTTGACATTTAAAAATAGCAAACTTTCACCTAAATACCAGAAAAATCACATTTTACACTGACAGTATAAAAAAGTTACAAACCTGGAATTCCTGTTCTTAAAAAATATCCTCCTCAATAGATTACTGCTCTTACATCAGTGCTTCCTGAACAACGCCAGGGAGGGAACTCTCAACTCAAAACATTAAATCCTCCAAGACAAAAACAGTACATCTCAGATTCTGTAGGGCCCCCCTCATGTGTTCAGATTAGTTCCTTTCAAAAAGGAGGCAGTAACTCCCACATAAAAGCCAATTAAAATCAGAAGGAAAAATGTACAAGTAGCTAAACAGTCTTCCAAACTCTGATGGGAAGAGAAGCTAAATGATTTTCCACAGAGATATCGAAGAAAAAAATTCAGATAATTTTTTTCTCCCAAGATAACCATCTTTGCATATTCCCACTCTAAGGTGAAAGCTCAAGAGATGTCTCTAAAATATACGTAACAGAACAGTGGATAAAACCAAAGGCTAATTTAAAAGCTAGGAAGGGAAAGGTTACATGCCTCAAAGCACCACAATTACAGGTAACTGCCACTAAGGACCCACACTCCTGGTCTGAAAATGCCCAGGGCTGGGAATTAGCAACATCTACTAGAACTCAACATTCAAACCCGAGGGAGTAAAAGACAGAGGGCCCCAAACACTGCTTGGTTTCTTATAATATATCAGAAATCTCCAGTAAAGACTCCAAAGAATTAGAGACAAGGAGTGTGGATCCATAAAAGGCAATTATCTAGAGAAACCCTTCTTCCTTCATGAATTGCTTGCCTAGATCCCACTCTTGGGGAATTAACAAGCAGGAACAAACAAACAAGCAGGAAATAAATACAAATTAGGGCTGTCAAATTATTTAAAAAATGGATTGCGATTAATTGCAAAATTAAAAAAATAATCGCAATTAATCCCAGTTTTAATCGCAATGTTAAACAAGAATAGAATACCATTTAAATATTTTTGGATGTTTTCTACATTTTCCAAATATATTGATTTCAATCAACACAGAATACAAAGTGTACAGTGCTCACTTCATATTTTTTATTACAAATCGTTGCACTGTAAAAAAGAAAGAAATAGTATTTTTCAATTCATCTCATACAAGTTAGTGCAATCTCTATTGTGAAAGTGCAATTTACAAATGTAGATTTTTTTTTTTATATATAACTGAACTCAAAAATAAATCAATGTAAAACTTCAAAGCCTACAAGTCCACTCAGTCCTATTTCTTGTTCAGCTAATCGCTAAGACAAACAAGTGTGTTTACATTTAGGGGAGATACTGCTGCCTACTTCTTATTTACGTCACTTGAAAGCGAGAACAGGAGTTCACATGGCACTGTTATAGCCAGCGTTGCAAGGTATTTACATGCCAGATATGCTAAACATTTGTATGCCCTTTCATGCTTCGTTAGCATAATTGAAAATCAATATATTTGAAAATGTAGAAAAACCAACCAAAAATATGTATAATAAATTTAAATGGGTATTCTATTATTGTTTAACAGTGCAATTAAAGATGCGATTAATTTTTTTAATCGAGTTAAATTTGTTTTGAGTTAATTGCTTGAGTTAACCACTATTAATTGACAGCCCTAATATAAATGAAAGACAACTGCTCTCCTGATCTGCTACAGAACCAAACAAGTATTACTATACAGATGACAGTCTTGCATACCTCTACAACGAAAACATTATGGGGAGATAGTCCAAGTGGCCTTTGACTTAGCTCGGGCACCACTGCAGACCTTTTGTAGCAGGGTTAGCAGAGGTTCCTAGGCAATGACTGCTAGGCACTGATGGCCGTGCCAGATGTGAGTCAGGAGAGGACTACTTCTCTCATGGAGCAGACCAATCATGGCATCCAGGAGGAAGTGATCCCTTCCCTGAAGTAGGGTCAGTGTCAAGGACCAGCATGAAGGACCCACCAGTAACCATGGCGACTAGACCTTGGCAACATTGACACACTGGTTATAGAAGATGCCGAGAGGGCACAGAAGCAGTGCTGTGGGACCTGTTTTCCCCCAGACATGCCCTGATGTAATCTCATCATCCGGAGTGGGAGGACAAATTTGGTGTTCCTTTTGAGGTGCTCCAGCAAGTTGATCACTTATCAGACATAAGGGAAAATTTGGAGAAGGCCAGAAAGACTGTTAGCTTAAACTTGTACACCCGAAGTTCACAGGTGCACAATGTAGATGTCTGCTTACTGAGGAGAACTTTGCACTGTGATCCCTTATCTGCACTGACCACATTAGTTTACAGGCAGGGTTTTAAAGTGTTAATTTTAAGGTAAAGCTCTAAACAGTTTGCGACCTCGCTACCTGACAGGCCAACTCCCTCCCCATGTGATGCTATGTAGTTGCAGTCAACAAATGCACTTGGGCTATAGGCCCTCTGATGTGAACACGGTGGGGCTAGGCTAGTGGGACATCTTCTCCAAAGGGTCCTTGATTCTGGAAACTGCTCCACCTCTTGGCGTCTCAGTCCAAAACTTCACTTTTAGGATATGCTGCCAAGATTAACTTCTTTCTGGGGCATTTGGGGAGGGAGTGGGCTGAGAGTCAGAGTAACAGATTTGGGGCTGAAAACAGGAGTTTATTAGATTCTATCCACATGAAGGCAGTCAATTATATGCATTGTGAATTCTATTTTTATATTGTCTACTTTAATCCTGTAAAAGCACCTAGAGCTAAAGATATGTATTTTATTTCAGCGTTTATGAATGCCTACTTCATAACTACACCACATCCCCTCTCAAACTAAATTCACTTCAGAAGCAGAAAAATTATGTTTCAAAAGTGTGATCTGAAGGCCTTTGGAACTGTGCTGATGGCTGCCTTGGCCAAATCGGTAACTTTCACTCTCTGTTAGGCTTTATTTGTTTTTTTTTTTATAACCAATATTTTATGATATTTTCACTGCTGTATGTTACTAGTGCACCATTATGACCCTTGAAAGAAACTGCCACAACAGACTGCCAGCAGTAGTTACCACAGTGTTCTATTTTCAATGCCAACTACTCGGAGTTTTTGAAAGTTTTAGAGAAATGCAGTGTCCTTAGCACATTCAGCCCAACATTCTCATACCTGTTCATGAATGTCGACCATCACTGCATTCTGCTGTGGCGGATGAGCGGCTGGGTGCAACATACGGGGGGATACATTCGGTGGGTGGAAGGCTCGGGGCTCTTCTATTGCTTGTTGCTGTCCGTAGGAGAGATGGTGATAGTTTTCGTCTTGACTAATGGAATTGTGTCGAGACAGGCGATCCCTTCTCGCTCTCTGGCGTCTAACAGGAGGACTGGGAACACATTAAAAGGGAAGACGTCACACAAATTGCCACAGGCCTCTTTCCTAAACAATATCATACATAATCCAATACTGAGGACAAGTCTGTACTAGACAGTTCCATCAACATTGTTATGTCGGCTAGGGATGTAATTTTATTTTTTAAACAGACAGTGGTATACTGATAAGAGCCTCAGTATAGATGCAATTATTTCAGGATACAGTGATTATACCAAAATATGCCAATCAGGAGAACCAGCATAAGCTAAATTAATATAAGCACTTTTATACAGATATTGTAATCACAAGATACATTAAAAGAACATGAAGGTTGCCAAGTCAAGCACTCAAAAGTTAGAAAATGCCAGGATTAAGGTTGCTTGTGCAATCTTGTACGTATGCATGAGAATACAGTCTACAAGGATATGATCACACACTTTTTTTCCCAAAGGACCGTGTGACTCATTCAGCACACAGAATGGATGTTGCTCACTAAATGAGCAGCTATTCAATATTTTGTTTTCTCCTCATTATTCAGTGTGTGGCCTCAGGCCTTATTTAGTGCACACTATTCATACCCTGCTCTGAAGACAGAATTATTAATTTCTTCATGGGCTTTTTCTCTGGCACTTAATGTAGTAGCTGAATGCTTCACAAACTTTCGTTTATTTTCACACCACCCTTGTGAGCTAAGGTGGTGGTATTATCCCCATTTTACAGAGGGGGAACTGTGACAGAGATTAATATAAAAAGTATCCACTCATTTTGGATGCCCAATTTGAGACACCTAAAACCGGATTACGGAGCATAACATAGCTCTTTCGGTGAGCAAAGTACAGCTCCTATTGACTATTTGCAACTGAGAGTGCTCAGGCCTTCTGCTAATCAGATGCAGGGTCTGAAGTCAGCACTCAGAAAATGAGCACTTAATGACTACCTGTAAGAAGTTTAGTTTAAGTGACTTGCCTGGTCTCTGGAGCACGCCCATTGCAGACGAAATCTTTGGGGAACAGCTGCGCGCTAGCAAGTCTCTACAGAGCATACGCAAACTGCAATTTTTCCAAGTCTTATAATTTGGCCAAATTTGGGCAGATTTTCACAAGAACAGGAAAAGGCAAATTTGACATAGGCCACCTTCTGCCCAAATTTCAAGTCTCTGCTGCAAAGCATGGGGGCACTTTTTCCTCAAAGAAAAAGACACCAGAATGTTTTAACATGGGCAAAACAACATTTTTTTCCTCTCACCTCATTCTCAAAAAAAGCTGAAACTGTTTTGGCTGAAATTCCCCCCACCTCAAAAATCATCCTGAGCAAAACACACCCAGGATAGAAAATTTCAGCTCAAATCATTAAAGTTTGGCAAAGTTATAAGCAACTGAAAACAGTGTCTTATAATGGGAACTGTCAGGCAATCTTAACAACAAGTGTTGTTACCAACCCCGCTTATAATTACTTGTGTTATATTATAGAAGAGCTTTGCGGATTTAAGCCTTATAAGCAGGTACATGTTTCCCTTGTATTCTTCCATTTTAGGAATCTATTATAGTGTTTATTAGTAGTTATGCAAAAATTATCAAAGTTATGCTGACATAACTATTATTGGTGTCATCCGAAAAGATTTACCCCCAGTGCTTTCCATAATCACACAAGACAATCAAATAAAGCTGCACAGATACAAATCTAGCTTTAAGGTTGTGTACATTCAGTACTATGTCACAGTCAGTTACATATAAATCAACTTGCCCAAGGTATTCAAGTATGCTTTATGTTAGTGACTGCTTTTAAAGGTCTAAAAATTGCATTACTACTAAGGTCCACTTGTTCAAGGTTGTACATCATTAGAGAAGACAGACCTATATAATTTTTGTAACTTTACTACTGCAGATATTTTATTTAATAATGCAGGCAGCAAGATTTCAGTTTTAGTGAATTCAGATTTAAACTTTCTTTATAAACACCTTTACAGTAGCAGATATGAAGCTTAAATTGTCTGATTTATATCTATAATCTTCAGCTAACATCGTTGCAAAGCTGTAACGTCATATGAAGGAAGGACTTGGGAGTGGTAAAAGTCACTGATGGCAGTTTCAACATTTTGAAAAAACTAAACAAGTAGAGATGCCTTACTTTCCCCTGCCATTTATCTTTAGACACAGTAGCTTTTTTAGCTTCAGTTCTGCCTTTACCTTTCCACAAGTAGTCCCAGTAGTCAAGCTTTACTTCTGTTAATTACCCAGAAGGAAACAAGGCATAACGAAAACAAAAACTGTCAACACTTTTTGGGCACTTTTCTATATACTGATTTATGGGCAGCACAGAACATAGTACTCTGGAAAAAACAGAACTTGATGCAAACAGACTTCTCTGAGGTGATCAGATACATGTCAGAATTGCAAAGAAATGTCCCTTTCCTTAGGTGTAACTCTGAGATAACCTCTCCATGTGTAGCTCTATCAGATGACTAACTTGGAATTACTGGAAATGCCTCATGCAAAGTAGTCACAACCTGCACTTAACATTCATATTGCAGTAGTGCTCATAGGCCTCAACCAGTTTGGGCCCCATTGTGCTGGGTAAATACACAAAAATAGTAAATGACAGTCTGTCTCTAAAAACTTAAAAGACAAGGCATAACTTGTGGACCAAACAAATGAAACAAGGTTGGGGAAACGGAGCAACAAATAAATATAACCAGATGCATGCAATTCTTAGCCAGTAACAACAATCACAGCTGTCTGTAACTGGAGATTCCTGTTCACTGTATTTAGCTGTTCAACATAAGTACTCCCCCCCCCAGTAACTTTTTTAATGTTCTCAATCAGGGAGCAGAGTACCAGAACTACTGCCATGGAGCTGATGTGAAGGAACATGAGGGTAACAAGACTGAGGAGAAGGCAGAGGGAAGGTGGTGTGTTATACATCAGGGGAGGCAGGAAGAATGGGGATGGAAGCTGGAGTGTGGCAGGGAAAGGACGAAAGGGGAAAAAACAGCAGCTCCATCTTCCCAAATAGTAGAGGGCAAACCATGCAGACACTTTCCCTGCAGCTGAGAGAAGTCCACCCTTGCGTCCACTGTGTACATAAGGGTGAATGTCAAACCTAAATAATCACAAATTGGGATGACAGCTGATTTTTGAGCCTGTAGAGGGAAGAAGGCAGACTAACAAACAAAGCTTATTTTGAATCAAGATTTTCTGGGGTCTAGCTTTTTTTAAAATGCTTGGTGTTGGCAGTACTGATTTATTTGCTAGCCATTTGGTGACCAATAGCTTCAAAACAGTCTCCAGTCAGAGCATGCACAGGTTTTGTTACATGGGCAGCAGATTAATGGATATACATAGTGACAGAGACTAAACCTGATAAATCTTGAAGCAAGTTCATTAGAAGGGCAAATTAATTTCACTTTTAAACAGAATTATGTAAAAGCCTATTGAGCTTATTTTACTAGTAATCTACTTTTTATTTGTATTACGATGGTGCCTGGAAACCCCATGCAAGTTCGAGGCCCACTGTGCTAGGCACTGTACAGAGAGTTCCTGTCCTGAGGAGGTTAGTCTAAACAGACAAGACAGAGGATAAGAGGGCAAAACAGAGATTCACAGTTGAAGAGCTGACAATAAAATACAGGTCTCTTGAGTCACAGGACAATTGCCTATCCACTGGACCACGTTGCCTCTCTCCATGCAATAATCCAAGAAATCAACTCACTGACTCGCATTATTAGTTTTGACTGCTGGTTGTATGAAAACAAATATAATTTTGAAAGTTGTGACCCAAAGCTTCCAAGATTTGTGACCCTAAAGACTTCTTTAACAATAAGTAACAATGTGCTACAGCTTCAATAAACTAACAGAATGCCAACTGACAGAGGCTTACGAACCATAGCCCAAAACTAAACTAAGATAAAAATGTAAACCCTTGCAATACGTGCACCACACATCTAAGCAATCACATGATACTACTTGCATCAACCTTGTCAGTTTTATTCATTCTCATTTGAAATTAGATTGTACGTTTATTACGAAAGGACAAAGTTGTAAGTGTCATGCACGTTTATTGCACTATAAAAATAATTAGTCTACTATTACTAGTAGTAGCCTGTCCAGAAATAGGAATCTTTAGTTTCTGGTTGATTTTCTGACACATTGTCTATGTGTACAACACACTAATGTAATGTACAGCATTAGAGCAATAAACGGATTCTAACTGAAAATGGTAAGGAGCAGCCACTCTCCAACTGTACATGTCCACACGAAATTATAGGAAGACAGTACACTGACCTCATGAATTACTTCCAATACCAGTTTTCAGCAGCGATAATAGCAAATGTTTATCAACAAAGCTTTCAAAATTAATATTTATCATATAGTCTTGTATAACTAGGAGTCTTCTGCTAGGAATACTTCATTTCTAATGCTAATGAATCACTGCTGCCTTGAAAAAGGTCTCGCCTGAATCAGCAGACAACCTAGCAAGAAACCACTCCACAATCTGACTAATCCATTTACCTCCTCCTGTTGCGTGCAGGTGTGTTGCATCGTTCCCCTGAGAAGTGATGCTGGTTGGGTCGAGCTGAAGGAGGCTGCCTATTTGATGTCATCTCCCATGGTCGCATTGGTGGTGATGGGGCTGGTGATGCTGCTGTATAGTCAAAGACTGAATGAGAAAGGCGTTGTCTCTTAGGACTGGGACTATCTTCACTCTATGCAAATGCAAAAAATAAACGCACCTGAGTGAGTCATACCCCAGACACACTGTTCTGTATTATTACTGCAGTTTACATCTGTGAGGGGGAAAAACTGAAGTAGACTATATACATTCAAAACAAAATACCACTTGAAGTTAAATGTCTAGTTGTCACATCATGAAGGTAATGGATTCTGCAATTAGTTTATGGCTTCCCCACCCCAAGTACATTTTTATTACAGAATTCAGTGCAATATTTTAAAAATTCTAATGCTGAGGTAGAAACAAAGTTACCAGAGATACACAGCTAAAAAAATGTTTGTTTCGAGAGAAGGTTTTTTTTTTTTTTTTAAATGTATGGGCTCTTCCAAAAATGTTGCTGGCTAAGCACCAATTTCATGCCAATGGGATCCGTATGTGTCAATCATTAAATAGTCTGCCAGATGGAGTTCTAGCTCAGCATGTGCACCCCAGATCCACCAGGAGGATGATCACTATACAGCTTATTAGACATCTGATTTGTATTGCAGCCAATTTTAGTTCTGCTTACTCAGCTCAGATGTGTCTCTTGTCCTTTAACTTGTTAGCGCAAGACTGGCAATTAACAAGTGTAAAAAGAATTTGACAAAAGCGTCAGCTAAGTCAATGTAATTTTTACTTTAAAAAATTATCTGGTTGGATACCTTTTTCCTGATCTGACCACCTATTTTGCTGACACAAAGAATTCTAATTGACTACAGGAGGCCAAATTGCTCCAATACCACCTGTGTTGACAACATCTCAAATTTTATTACCTGACAGAATAGATACCTTCTGTGGAAAGGCAACTGATGCCGAGAAAATTCAGCTTCTCTGCTATGGCCTTGTCTGTCTCAATTTCTTTTTTTTACTCTCTGATAGTCCAGTTGACCTACTCATTCTTTTGCAAGCTTTCTGCTTCACACATTTAGAAAATGCACTGTTTCTCTCTGTGGCTATTTACTCTTCAAAAATCCCTGTCTTCATAAAATAGACATATGTATATATTTCATCTGCCATAGTTTATGTTATTTTTATTAGTTTCACTAATGTTGCATTTACATTTTCAGAAGAATACTGGTTTGGCTTGAATACTCTCTTCATCTCTGACAATTAACCACATCTCTTTTACCTTCCTGTTTCCTTTTCAGTTTAGGGATATGCACAGTCTTCATATCTATTGTAGGCTAAGGATTTTACTTTCCTAAGTTTTTACTTCAGGGCCTTTTTTTTTTTCTCCCCTGCCCCCCCCCCCCCCCCCCAATCTCCCTTTCTAAAGTTAAGTGCATAGTGACAGGTTTATTTTTTATATGAAATTCCTCCCTGAGGATGCAGTACTTAAATTATAATCACTAATAGCTGTAAGGCTACAATTACTTTTTTGACCAACTCCTGTATCTCAGTTAGGAGTAAGTAAAAAAAAACAACCTTTCCTCTTGTGTGCTTTAGGACTAGGTATTCCAAGAAGTACTCTAGTAAGTCAAGCAACCATTTCCCTAAACCTTGCCCTGTTGTGATGTTTGGATGCTGGTAATTGACATTTCCCATTATCATTTCACAGATTTAGTTGCTTCTTTGATCTCCCTCAACACTGTACATTCAAAACCTATTCCAGATCAGAACACCAACTGCCTAACTTTACTAGTGGTAAGGAAGGAGAAAAGGGTGCAGCATAAAAGCATAGCAAGCAGTACCTGAGCAGTAACTTTGACATGCTTCAAGTTCCTACTTTGATTTTTAAATTTAGGTTTAAAGTTAGTGTGGTGAAGAATGAGGTAAGTCACGAAGGCAGGGTTCTATGGTTCGTGGCCAAAATGAGAGTTTTCAAAGACAGTTTTGGAAACAGGAACTTGTATGCTTAAGGTGAGTGGGTCAGATCCAGAGAGGTATATGTACCGATAGGTAAATAGGGCAAAAAGGCCAGGCACACTTGGAGGCTATAGAGAACCATATGAAAACAAACAGGTGCAGATGGGGGGATGAGACAAAAGGGTTCAGTAAGCTGGCAGAGGGGGCAAAGCCTAGTGAATGGTAACAGGTATTCATTGTATTCACCTCTGTTGGTGAGAGAGGAGTTTTCAAGCTATTGTTTGGCTAACAAACTTTGATTGGTAATGCCATGCATCTGGCACCTTTCCTTAGCACTAAATTTATGCTTAAATACCCCTTCCCCCATCCCCTACCTGTCCAAAAAAGCATATTTATCCCGCAACACTGGTTCTTTTGATTATTTTGTCTCTGAAGAGATGCACTCCAAGCACAAAAGACAGCTCATGAGTTTATAGGAGATGGCAGAGATGTACCAAACTAACAAGCTGCTAGGCGGTTACCCTTCATCATTCCAAATTACTATTTAGTATATCTACTTCAAACTCCATAATATGTGCTAATTGCCTTCTATGTTAAGCAACAGTATTTCCATCCCAACTTGTCCATTAGAAAGAAAATAACGATAAAATCATTTTCTGAACTACATATAAAAGCATGCTTTTAAAAACCTAATTATGTTTTTCTGAACTGGAAAAAAAATAACCTAAAGCTAAATCCTAACTTCTTCATAAATTAGTGTCATTAAGAAAAAAACATTGGTGCTTTTTCTTGGCTTTAATTAAGAAACCAATTCTCATGAGATGATTGTAACAGGGTTACAAGAGCATATTGCAAAGAGTAACATGGAATTAGTGGCAGAAACAAATCCCATACAAATTAAGATCTATTTACATTTCAATTACACTGAACTCATGGCAGAGCTGGCTACAAACAGTGTAATTTTGCAGTCTATAATACCCTAAGTTGGCAAATGCGGTGCTATATTTGTACAGTATGTCATTTGTTGCAACATTTACATCTCCCCAAATTTCATCCCAATATTCAACAGGCCAGCTCAGAGTCCCTGGACTACCTCCTTTGCTGACAGGCCATTCTGTGTTGTCTGATTTTGCTGCGGCCAAACAAGCAGCAAGAACAGAAGGACGTTGGCCTGATAGCTGTGGAAGATGCAGTTTATTTTTATTAATTACACAAATTAAAAATTGATATGACAAAAGCCAGGAACTAAAAGACTGCATTGATTCAAACATGAATTTCTAGAAGAGCAAACAACATCTGCACAAAATACAGCACATTTCATATGTCAAAGCACCAATGCCAGAAAGACTTCATGATAGGCATCCCATGTTACCACTGAAAGAAGATGAAGCTTATGCCAAGGCAGAATTAGGATTGAAATTAAATCCACAAGAGTCAGGAAATTCACAATTAATGTTCCCCTAGCAAATCTATACCCCTTCCCTTGTAACTGTGCACTATGATACCTTATCACGTAGACACACCAGTAGTGAGTCACTATTCAGCAAAGAATTAAATCCATTTGTAAAATGCATCCTTCTCTTATACTATTTAGTATGAATTGGAGTGAAATTCTGATACGTTGTTGACGCGACCATTCGTTATGCTTTTGAATACTTTTCACAGTCATTCGATGTGATTTATGTTAACCCTGCTCATCTCTGTGCTCTTATGAGAAAGGATAAGTTGCTAGTTTAGGCTTTTTATAAAAGCAGAAGTTTTTACCAAGACAATAATATTGTCATAACATTTGATGTGGTCTCCTTTCCCCCTTAAGTTGTAAAGGTTACATGGAGCGTTCTGTATCTCCTTAGTTGTGTGTTTGTCAGGTGACAGCTTGAAAATGTTACAAAACTTAGACAAGGCGTAAGATGCCTCGCCCTCCCTGAGCCCCTGAACATACCAGCAGAGCTGGGTCCTGCCGATTTAGGGTAAATGACGGTAGATGCTGCTAGGAGGCAGAAGGGAGCCACCTCCAAAGACCCACAGAATATGACAGCTAAGGGACCCCACTTGGAGGGAAGGAGATCACCACAGGCTCTTCCCCAGGCCATGTGGCTAAAGGAGACTGAGGAGATGGGAGTGAATTCCTGACAGCAGTAAAGGGGGGAGGCAATACCCAACAGAGGAGACTGATGGCTGCTTTTGGACCACACTTATCCAGTTTGTAGGGTTAGGGGCACGATCCTTGATTAGGCTGCAAGAGGTCATGGGGTCAAAGCCACACCCGAGTCCACTGAGTGTACTTTTTTTTTTAGGCCTGCACTGGCATGCAGACAGACTAGAGATGGAATAAATGTTTCTGAATATAGTTTATACAATTCTGTACACAAATTCGCAGAGTCCCATGAGAGTTTTTTTAAAGAAACTGATGACATACAGCAGAATATCATTTTACCTTAGTTTTTAAGCACAGTAACGGCTCCAAATAAATATTTATACATTCAAAATTTGAAACCTCTTCCTAAAGAAAGATCTTTCAAATAAAAGGAATCAAAGATGTGACAGGTATGTCCATGCTTAATGGATAAAGACCATTAGAGCTAGGTGTTTCTCCTATAGGAAAACATGACATGAAAAAGTACATGAAGTTAACTATGTTGAACTTAGAATCCGATTATGATCTTCTGACAACCAGTTAAACTGAATGACATTGAGACATCTGTACCTCATTTTCAGCCTGCAGACTCAAGACAATACTGCATTGATTTGTATCCTGGCGTTACAATCAGAAATTAGCAATTTTTAAAATGAATGCTTAGCTCAGGGGTGGCCACACTGCAGCTCGTGAGCCACATATGGCTCTTTTACAGTTAAAGTACAGCTCCCGGAACCCCCTCTACTCCCTCCCCCCCGCTCCACCTACCAGACTGGGGGGAGGGGAGAGGAGGGGAAGAGACAGGGTTCGGGACTTCTGCCTTGCAGCAGGGTGGTGGGGTACAGGTTTCTACCCAGCAGGGTGGGGGGATCTCAGGGCTTCAGCCCTGTGGGGTGCGCCTGCCAGATCTCGGGGCTTCAGCAGGAGCGGGACTGAAGCCCCAAGACCCGCAGATGCCTCCTGTGGGGCAGAAGCCCTGAACCCCGGCAGGCACCCCTGGCTCTCGAACTTCTGAAGATTGTCATATGGGGTTCAGAGGGTCAGTAAGTTTG